TTCAGATTTCTCCAAGTTGAGGATTATGAGACTGACGCGCTGCCTACATCGCTACTTCGGCTGACATAAGGAATTTTATATATGGGTACGTGATTGTTTGTGTAAGAATTCTTAAATAGTTTTCCTACAAATCCGGTTTTTGAACCCGTAACGGGATATTAGCCGCTACAGGCGTTATCATCCTTCGTGACTATTGAAGCACTTTGTGCGCAATTCGATAGAGCATAATGTAATTTGGGATTGAATTTTTATAATAACTTTTTGAAATATGCCTGAAAAGAACAATAATTTTAAACGAATGAAAACACAAACTATTCAAAAGAAATTTTAAAATTTATTAGTCTCATTTAAAAAATTTCGTCTTCCTCAAAAGGCCCTTGTTACTTTTATATACATAGAATTAATGTTTTTATCATCAAAATTTTTATTTCCTTTTAAATTCCGTCTTTTCCAACTCTTATCAGTTCTGAATTCGAGATGTATATTGTGATAGGATTCAATACCATCTGTTGCAAAATGTAAGGTTTCCACCAAGATTTGAACTAGGATCACTGGATTCAGACTCCAGAGAGCTAACCATTACACCATGGAACCCAAGTTTCCCACGCCGGGAATCGAACCCGGGCCGCCAGGGTGAAAGCCAGGAATCCTAACCACTAGACCACATGGAATCATTCGGGACGAACAATTATACGTATTAATTCCAATTTCTCTCACATTTGCACATCATTAGTTCTATTGTTTTTATACAACTTTTGACATCTCTCGCGTTCTTCTTCTAACATAACACCTACGTTCTTTGATTGCCACGATTAATGGCAAAACTTTTCCAACCCAAATCCAAGAAGTAAAAACTAAGCAACAATGCAAATAAGATAACCTTTAAAAGGATAGAAAGTTTAGTGAGCAACGATGGCAATTTTAGAGAAAGCTTAGTTCGGAACAGGTGGAAGTGTGATTAGACAGCTACTCAGGAATCACGGAGATCACGCCCGTTGTACAAGGTGCATACTATTGCACTCGTGCCTACCCTGAATATCTGAAGTTGATTGGATCGATGATTATTCCTCCAAGGTAAGAAAATTGTATTCTGAACGCTAATATAATATTGAAGCGAGATTAGGCAGATAATTAGTTATATTTTGATAAGTGATCTAATTGCGCGATCTGACTTAATTAAATTGGTGTACTTTGGTTTATTCTCACTTAATATAAGTTTGTTCGTTATATAAGTAATTTAAGTTAAATTCTTAATAAAAGTTCTATTAAGAATTATAGAATGCCTTATGCTTCCGAGATAGTTCCACACCTCTAACTTACGCGGAACCCCCAAGACATAGCTATCGACAGATGGCTATGTCACAATGGCGCTCGAACAATTTTTATAATTCTGGGTTAGGTAATGCAGGAGGGTTTGGCATTTTACCAGAAATGTGTTTTTCCGGGTCTGAGAATGTTACCGAATTTCTCGAGGCTATAGATAATCAAATACAGTTACTTGAAATACCAAGTAGTAACCTGTCATGTGCTTATTTGAAAAGTCATCTCAGGGGAAGGGCTCAAGATTGGTACTCAATATTTGGATCGGTGCTAGTGCAAGATTCTGCCACGGATTTCGCGCAGCTCAAGGCTGAATTAGCGAAAGTTTTTCTCGCAATCAAAAATAAGAAAGAATTGGAGGTTAGGTTTTTCATGTCACAGCAGGGAAGAAATCAGGAACCAACAGACTTTGTTTACGATTTGCTAAAAATACATAAGAGTTTAGAGCTAAGGATGTCGCAGGCGGAATTGTTTAATCACATTTTTGTTAGACTCGAACCACAAGTCCAGGACTATGTGGAAGTTCGCAATNCAGGAACCAACGGATTTGGTTTACGATTTGTTAAAAATACACAAGCGCTTAGAACTAAGGATGTCGCAGGCAGATTTGGTTGATCACAATTTTGTTAGACTCGAACCACAAGTCCAGGACTATGTGGAGGTCCGAAATCCACAGAACACGGTACAACTTTTAGAAATCTTAGCTAAATTTGAGGAGAGGTATTCTTACAAATTAAAACGGGGTTCGCAGAATAGTGATAATGTGGAAAGACGGAGTCAAAGCGCGCATAGGATGTCTAATTTTGAAGATAATCGCAGAAACTGGAGAAATTCTGATGTTTGGCGTAGACCAAATAGTGGCAGAAATGATTCTAGAGGTAGTTATGAGAATGGCCGTCAAAGTAATAAGTGGTTCGAGAGTAGGAATAGATTTCAGAATGATGATCGGATATTCAACGAAAGGGGATACCAATTTCGAAAAGAAGATCGAAATGATAATTTTAATAGAGGGGACATCAGAAATAGGGGTTCGAGTGAGAGTTTCAGTCGAGGCGATAGGATGCAAAGGGGACGATTGAATGTTTTGAAAGTTAATGAAGTTCTAAATAATCAAAAGAAATCGGCAAAGGATATACCAATTAAACTTTCTCCGATATGTATATCACCCGTGGAACTTCCGTATGTTCCTATTTTATTAAATAACACATTTTTGAAAGCGCTATGGGACACCGGAGCGGAGAAATCATTTATATTGGAAGAAATATATAAAAAATATTTTTTTTATAAACAAGTAAAAAAATCACGAGCTCAGGTGATGACAGCACAGGGAGCGAAATGTCAAAATATAGGGATTGTAGAATTGAATATTCGAATCAGGGAGTTTGAAAAACCTTGGTTGTTTCATGTGTTGACGGATTTTGAATACCCATATATTTTTGGAGTTGATTTCATAATTGCATCAAAGATTGTTTTAGACTTTGATCGAAAATCGTTCAAGATTCCAGATTCGCAGACAGAGATGGTGGTTGAAACAGTTGAAGATGTGAAAATGTTGAAATAGATCTGTCTAAGACAAAGTTGGAGGATAAGCAAAAACAGGAATTACAAAAATTGTTTAGTAGTTTTAAGGGATTGTTCTCAGACAAACCAGGTCTTACTCATGTTTTATACCATGAAATTCATAC